GCAGAGGTGATTCAGCCTCCCTTTCTCTATGGGGCGGAGCCACCGGCCTGAATCCCCTCCTGGAGAACATGGGGCTAGGCGGAGCAACGGTAATGAGGCGTTCCTGAAACTGAGGCTGATTCTGATTGGACGGGGCGATTGTGCGTTCCTGGGTTTGACTGCAGCTGCATCTCGGACACCCGCCCTCCACCACTTCCTGCCTCTCTGGAGGAAGACTGAAGGACCTCTGCCTGGAAGTGTCAGGTGGAGGGACGTAGGTGGACGAGTGGGCTGAATAGTGAGCCCCTGGAGAGTTGAAGGAGGCAGGGATGGAGTGAGGAGCAGCAGAAGCAGATGAGGAGGAGAACAGGGCGTGGTGAGACGCTCGCCGGCGGTGGAACTGCTCCCACTTTGGGGGTGGTGGTCTTGGAGGAGGGGGTGTCTTCTTCCTGTTTTGCCTGGAAACACTTGATGCATCTCCACGTCTCATGTTGCCTTCCTCCACCTCACTCAGGGTCTGGCTGGTTGCCATGGAAATTGAAGGGGACCAGCGCTGGCTGCTGTCGAAGCGGAGGTCGTTTTCGGACATGGCTCGACCTCTGAGATAAAGAGGAGCTGGTGGAGGTGCAAAAGCGTAGCCGTTGTGGTCATCGGTGCTGCTGTCTGTGTGTCTGAGGCCCCATCGAGGCTGCTGGAGGTGCTGCTGGTACTGACCGATGTTCTCTGGAGGTCTGGACTCCCGCCTCCAGCTTGGGTAGTCCCTTTTGTTGTGGAGAAAGTAGAGTGACACGAGAAAGATTATTTTATAAATAAATAGAGAGTGAGCCAAGCTTATAGATAAAGGAAGAGCTCAGAAACATCGCGACACAAATTCCTTGTAACAGAGCTCAGCTGAGGCTTAGTCAACACTAGCCTAGCTGTTTCTCACATTCACGCCACGTGAATTTTCAGCCTTTGCCTGTGATTTCTATATTTCCAACTTTGACAAAGCCTGAAATTTACAATTTAAAAACTTCTTCGGTTTCTTTTTGTCTAAATTTGAACAAAAACAGTTCAGTTCAAACGCCAAATGACTGCAAAAAACATTTATTATGACAATGTCCAAAGACTGCATGAACTGAGCATCAGAATGATGAAGAAAGGAGATTTAAGTGACTTTGAGTTTGGGATGATTGTTGCTGCTAGACGGGCTGGTCTGAGAATTTCAGGAACAGCTGATTTGTGTGGGATTTTCCCACACAACCATCTCTGTGGTGTACAGAGAATGGTCTAAAAAGAGAAGATGTCCAGTGAGGAAAACAGTGGGTGGGTGAAGAAGAATGGCCAGATTGCTTCAAGCCGATAGGAAGGTAACAGCAACTCAAGTAACCACTCGTTGCATCCAAGGTACGCAGAAGATGGGCTACAGCAGCAGTAGACCACACAGAGTGCCTCTGCTGTCAGCTAAGACCAGGAGACTGGGGCTACAATTCACACGACGTTTAGATGGCATGCTGAGGTTTTTCCTTGTATCATTGGTTCAGGCTGGTGTCGGTGTAACAGTGTGTGGATACACGCTGGTCCCCTTAGTACCAACTGAGCATCATTTAAACTCCACAGAGTATTGTTGCTGACCATGTCCATCCCTTAATGACCACAGTGTACCATCTTCTGATGGCTGCTTCTAGCAGGACAACAAACCATGTCTCAAAGCTCACATCATCTCAAACTGATTTCTTGACCATGACAATGAGTTCACCACACTCAAGTGGCCTCCACAGTCACCAGATCTCAGTCTAACACAGCACCTTTGTGATGTGGTGGAACGGGAGTTTCTCCTCATGGATGTGGAGCTGACAAATCTGCAGCAACTGTGTGATGCTGTCATACCAACATGGATCCAAATATCTGAGGAACGTTTCAAGCACCTAGTTGAATCTACACCATGATCAATTAAAGTAGCTGCAAAGGCGAAAGCTGTCCAACACTGTAATAGCAAGGTGTACTTAATAAAGTGTCTAGTGAACGTATATGTATGATTTGACACCAAGATCATGAAAATGGTCAATCTTGTTGACTACACCCTAAGTAATGAAGTTTTCCTTTATCAAAGAAGCAAAAATAAAATGAAGTGCTTGCCAGTTATCGACTGCGCTTACACAGACTGAAATCGTGAGCCTTGTGCTTGCTTTTATGCATGCTGGCAGGAGGTTCTTACAGTTGCACGTCACAAAACACATGCATCTTTGATCCTCTATTTAAAACTGAAATACAGGAGTTGCTACTGAGAGAAAACGTGCTTCAAACCTTGAAACTGAACAGAAAAGGTGGTTTAGAGCAGGTTGGGTTGAAAATTTTGTTTTGAATTGGTTCCAAATGCCACGTTTTTCACTAATTCTTCTGATGACATTGTGCTCTATTTGTAAAGTGTGTATACTGTTAAAGTTTTGAAAATGCTTTTGGAAACAGTTTGTTTGCCCCCCAAAATTGAGTCTTCCTGTTAAAATAAACTGCTAAATAAAAACAATCAAAGTACGAGTAACAAAAGACAAGATGGACATTTCCAGAGGGAGTATTCCTGAAAAAAAGCACATCAGGAACAAAAACACAGAGACAGTGAAAGTGGTTCAATTACAGTAAATGTTTCCTTTGTGCATACCATGCTCACTGAGCTGTTTCGGTCTCTGGTCAAATCCGAGCAGAGGCCCTTTAACGAGCACTATGCGTCCTAAATGCCCCTCCTGCTAACATACATCCAACCACATATCATTATGGTCACATTTGGAGCACGCGTGATTACTCCGCACACTTAGAGCTCATTACAGGCAAATCACAGCCGGGCATGACTGAGTGGGATTTCCGCCCGCCAGTGCACAATGGCCCGACCGCACCTAAACGCCTCCGGAGAACCACACAGGGGATGGAGCGAGTGAAAAGAAAGGCCGTGAGCAAATACGTGAAGATAACCAGGTCAGAAAGAAGAAGGGAAAAAAAAAAGGTGCGGGAGAAGAAGGAAGCGGCTCACCTCTCGGTCAGGCTGTACTTCCTGTTGAGCTTGCTTGTTTCCTGCTGCCTGGCAGGATAAGTCTGTGGAGAGATTTAATGGCGGTTAATAACACCAAAGGAATGAAGGAAGGCTTCAATTTGGAGCTGAGTGATGTTCAGCACACGTCCCAGCTGAAGGGAAATTAGTGTGTTACTCCACCCTGCAGTGGTGACGGGGTTTAGAGAGGTGGAGGTAACTTGTGCTGAGTGTGAAGCATTTATAGGTCTAAAACTTTTTTATTGTTATATAGCTTCAAATGCACTTTTGTTTTTAATATATTCTCCATCTCTACCTTATTTAAGTTGTCTTCTAAAAACGCATTTGTCTGACTTTTAATAATTATATTAACATTTGTTGTGTATTTTTGTGTGATTTAATTGTAAATCTCTTCATCTGTACATTTTCCACTCCGAGTTGTTTGTTGTCTTCCTATTTATAACTTTTCTTTCTTCATCATATCACATGTGCTCGAGTGAGGACTGTTTAGTAAGGCTGCGTTTTGTAATGGAAGGGAAGGCAGCGGGACCTTCATAACACTGAAAACACAGGGTTTACCCTGAAGTCAGTTTGCTGTGAATCATCCTTTGATCACTCCCCTGGCTGTCTTCTTTGTGGACAGCATTTTTGATGGACTGTTCCTGCTCTCTGCTTGGATTGCGTGCCTCGTTGTCGTTCTGTGTTTGAGTTCTGCTCTTTTTTGCTTTTGCTTTGCATTTGGGTCCTTTTCTCCCTGCACGTAACAGTTTCCTGCGATGCAGTTAAAGAGATTGCTAACCTCATCTTCGCTTTATTGCAGGATGTTTCTGTTTGTAGTACATGTAGCTTTTGTAGATTTGTTTGTTCACTTAAGATTTTATTTAGATAGGATGGATCGCTCCTTTCATCTCCTGCACTGTTGTCTATTTTACAGTCAGAGCCACTATTGCATGTCAGTAAAATAAACATATTTTGCTTCCAAGGAGCCGGACTTATTTTAAAATTGGTCTTGAGCAATCACTCTCCAGGCCTTCTTCAGTTGATCCATCTACTGTTCACTGAAGCCTCATTGGAAATGTCTCAGTGGACCTTCTTAAACAAAACAGGGAGAAACTGAAAACTGAAAATCAGTGGAAACAGGTCTGATGGAGTGATGAATCCATTTTTTTACATTTTTGGTTCAAATCACTGACAATATGTATGGAGGAAGTCAGGAGATGGGTCTACGGCCATCTGTAAAACATGGTAGAGGCTCTGTCATGGTTGGGAGCTGCATTTCAGCTGGTGGTGTCAAAATTGATGGAATAATGAAGACAGAAAGTCCCATGAGATTTTGATTCACTATGCAATATCATCTGTAAAGTGTCTGACTGGCAACAACTTCATTATTTTTTACCATGATAATGACCCCAAACACACTGTCAGTGTAGTAAAAGCATACCTGGACAGAAAAACCCAGAAGTGACACACTATCAGTCAGGGATTGGCCTCCCCAGAGCCCAAAGCTCAATATACTTGAAGCAGTGTAGGATCATCTCAAGGCAGCCAACATCCAAAGAAGAGCTTTGAGTGTCCTTCAAGAAGCCTGAAGAACTATTCCTGAAGACTACGTAAAGAAGTTAGCTGCCTAAGACAGTTCAGGCTGTGAACTCAGGTGTCAGATGGAATAATATGAAGACATATGAAGGGGTGGCTTAAGACTTTTGCACAATTTTCTAGAAGCTTCCAAAATTGTTGTGACTACACAAGGGAAACAGTGAGCGAACTCATTGCACTCTCATCACACACACACACACTATTTTCTGACTGTCTGTGATGCAAATCAGAACATTCAGATGGTTTTTCTGTTGGCACAGCTGGAAGTGAATTTTACATATTTGGCCGTCACTTGATGTCAGCAGAGCATAAAACCAAAAGATAACAACTAATAACAAGCTCTATTTCACAAGCACTTGGATGGCTCTTTGACTTATTATTAAAAGGGACTTAGCACTATTTATGACAGGTTTTGGCCATAACTGTTATACAAGAGAAACATTTTTATACAGGAAGTCTGAAACTGCAGAATAATGCTTAAGCTGTGAAATAAATGTTGTGGAGTAGACCCCATGCCCTCCCTCTGGACACAGAACAACTGACGGCTGCTGTCATTTAACCAGGTTGTTTACATTCGTTATTCTGTAGCTCTGCCACTGTGGTGGATGTAAAAAAGATTTTGTCCATCTGTCATCGACTCCCACCCAGTCTGCTTCCTGGTGATGCTGTTCGGTTCGTTATCATTCTTTACGTGGCTACCGTGCAGATCTCTCAAAGCTCACGACTCTACTGCTGCCTCAGCCTCGCCCTGTTCCCACCTCGCAGACATCCCTCAGTGGATGCTATGGCTGGTCTTAGTCCAATTTCCCCATCACCTCGTGTATAAAATCATGCCAAAGCTAAAAACAGACTGATAGAAGAATATTAAGCTGGAAACACGGCTGGATTGACAGCTTCATCTAAAAATAATTTCGTAACCAAGTCAAGTCTTCCAACTGATCGTAATCCGCTGCCAGCTCAGTGATTAACATGAATTTGTTTCATTTTGAGTATAAATAACAACTGATGGCCTTTGGGGAAGGATATATTGCTTCAAAGAGTACATTGTGTGTTTTTGTAATGACGTGGGAGGTAAAATTAGAAGGAAAAAAAAAGGAATCTGATTTTGCAAAACATCAATTGAATTTAAAGGCGCAGCCGGCCTCTTTTCACTCAGTGACAGACCACAAATAATAAAAGCGGCTGCAAAGATTTTGGTTTCCGTCCTGTATCCAAAACACACAAACATGACCACACAGACACACACACACCTTAATGACAGCGTAAACCTCACTTCTCAATACAAAAGGAAACCGCGTGAAATTAGTGAATTTTAAGGCTGACCGTCACACCGACACCTGGATATTAGGGTTTCCCCTTATCACCCATCCAGCACATCTGTTACCACTAAAAAACAATGGACCTTGTCGGCGGCAGAGTTAAACACACGGGGTTATCGCTGTGGCATCTAACCGGCAACCTTTGACTTGAGAAGAATGCCGACACGGAGGAGGCCGAGGTTCACGGCTCCCCGGAGGCCTTGGTGTGGCGTACCCTCACAGAAGTGTCCTGAACCAAACATATGCTGAACTCAAAGTACATTTAGTCCAAAACAAATGTCAGTGTGGATTGCTTGGTGTCGAATGATGAGGGCACGAATGTGCACGAGTTCACAGAAGAAGCAAAAGTTCAGACGAGGGTCTGTGCCCCCCTAAGTCGGATCAATTTGTGGTAAAGATGTAACCCTACGCCGCTATTATCGCTGACACAAGTGTCCCGCCGCTGCTCGTTCTCTCGCTCTCTAAGTTCTGCTGCAACAATCTGCTGAATGAGAATTTCAGACTGTGACCGCATGCAGGATAAGAGGCTCGGCTTCAAACCCACTGTTCAACCGCGGAGCACTTGGACCGAGCGGCCACTTAGCTCCAACATCCAAGCGAGGCCACTCGATCCCTTTGTGGTGCTGGTTGAAAGGAGCGAGATAGTTTTCGGTCTCCGGTGGTCATCTCAGCTTGGTCCAGCAGAAAAGTTTACTTTTCACTCTCTAAAGAGGTACTAAGTTTCAGTGCTGCTGGAACACTGGCTGTGATTCAACTTAGGCAGGCTGCCTCTCAGGATCATCGCCTCAATATGATAACGCAACGTTAACACAGAAATGAGTTTATTGGTAATTATGGCGAACAATGGTTTAGCTTGAGCGCCACTTGTGAATGCATAAAAAGGTGTTTTACACAAAAAAGCAAAATAAATTGGCATTCAACCCAACGAAAAATCATAAAGTCTGACTGACTGAGATAAGTATTTTTAACCATTATTTTAAAGCGAGGTTTAACTTACTCAAGCATAAAATAACAGTTTTGCTTAGTTTAAACGTTAACTAAGGTGCTTTTTTAAGGCCTTAAAAAGCCCTACAAACTAAATCAGCGCTGTAGACTAACCTTTTGCCACGGTTAGGTGCACATGTCATGTGACGGGCAGGAATCTCAGCGACCTCGACCTCAAGGTCAAGGTCAGAGGTCAAGTTTTCTGAAAATCATGTGAATGTGGTAATCCCATAAGGAAATTACCCTAGAATCCGGAAAATAATAACATAAGTGTAATTGTAAAAAATCTCAGACGAGTTTAAATTTCAGTGACCTTGACCTTGAGTTCAGAGGTCAAGTTTTTAAAAAATCTTTGAAGGAGTTTCACTGGCTGCTGCCAGTACTTTTACACATATAAAACCAACACAAAAGAGTTAGTAGAGCAATCAAAAAAGTATTATATATTATTATTGTGCAAAGAAATGAAAAAAAAAAACTTCCTGGCTATTCATGAATATTATTGTTATTATTATTGTTGTTATTTTTTTATTTTTTTATTTTATTTCCAACTGCTCTTAAATGTTTCACCTGTAATTTTCCTATAGGAAAATTAGATGTTTTATACCTTATTATTACTATTATTATATTACCTTATTATTATATTTTAAACTGTAATCCCACAGAGATCCTTTAACAGAGGCCAAGAATTAAAATATGGAGGTACAAACTTTGCTGGGGTTTCTTCCTGTTAAAAGGGAGTTTTTCCTTGCCGCTGTAGCCAAGTGCTTGCTCATGGAGGTAATTTAATTGGGGCTTCTTTCTAATATTTTGGAGTCTTCACCTTACAACATAAAGCAACCATTAGTAGTAGGGTTACTGCAGGTGAGGCAGAGGCAAAATATGAAGTGAACAAGTCAATGAGGGTTGTTTCGTTTTTAAAAGGGGACAGTAAACGAATTCTACTTTGCTGATGCTATTGTATAGTCGTATCTGGGGTATTACCATGTTTCCTGCTCACTTAGTTGGGGCAAGGTAAAAAAAATGGAGTAGACCCTTGGAGCATCCCTCTTACCTCTGCAGATGTGTAGCTCTGTGCTGAGAATCCCGGGGGCAGAGCTTGTCGGTTCTCTGGTCGCTGGGAAGGGGTGCTGACTGGATAAAAAGCTGATCGTGGGACGTGACTCTGGGTTTGGCTGTGGGAGAATATCTGAGGTTTGGGCTGGAAGTTGTGGAAGTTCTCCTTGTGTTGTTGGAAGTCTTGAGTTTTTACTGTGAAGCCACAGCTACGATAAAACTCCTGATGAGAGGTGAGCTGACAGTCTTCTTCCCTTTCCTTCTCTCTTTCTCTCTCAAGCTCTTTCTCTCTTTGATTTTGGAGTCGCTCTCGTTCTCTCGCTCTCTCCATTTCTTTTTCCCTTTCCAGCTCGAGCTCCCTTTCCCTTTCCCACTGTCGGACCCGCTCCTCTCGCTCTCTCTCCCGCTCCATCTCCCTCATCCTTGCCCTCTCCATTTCCAGTTCCCTCTCTTGTCTTTCCTTTTCCTGCTGCTTCTCCCTTTCTCTTAGCCTCTCCTCTCGCTCCCTCAACCTCTCCTCCCTTTCTCTCGCTTGTTCCCTCTCCTTTTCTTTCCGCCTCTCCCTGCTGTTACTCACAGACTGCCTCCTGGCCTCCACAGTATTTGAAAGCAGGGAGCTTTCCTGTGGTCCCCCCTGATAGGAATATCTCCTTTGGTTTGGAGGCTCTCCCCCTCTGGTGCTCCGGATAGACCCCAGGGCATTTGAAACAGACACGCCCTTGCTCGTTTGCTCAAAAAACTTCATTCTATCTGCAAACGGAAGGATATCAGAATCCTCGGTTCGAGAACCTGAAGACGAGCGGCCGTATGTTGATGTAGATGATGAGGTGAAAGCACAAACTCCATGACGAGACCCTGTTACTCCTAAAACGCTCTCATTGGAAACTCTGCACTGTCTGTCTTGATCAGGTTCTGGTTGGAGTTTGTGCTCAGGGGTCCAACGCCAACGGCGGGCCTTGCCAGCGGGAGCTGGTTCCTCCACAACTCGGATGCCAACACCAAAACTCGGGGCGCCTGGGTCCAGAATTTGGACAGACCTGGATAAACTATTGTTCTGAGGGTAGGTTAGGGATGGAGACTGAGTCTTTAAGACATCACGGTCTGATTCACTTGAGGTGTTTGATGGTATGACTGGTTCTGAGGTCTGGGAATCTTGGGGAAGAGAAGGAGTGGCAAATGTAGCCTTTGCACCGTCTTTCTGGGCTGGCTGTTCTGCATCTCCCTCCTCATTGACATCTGGATCCTCCTCCTGGACAGTTTCTCTACTACACAGTAACCCTCCTGGACCTCGACTGCGCTGAAGCTGGGCCTTTTTCCTCTGAATCTCATTGCGCAGGTTGGTGGCAAATCTCTCGCTTCGCCGGCGGTTCCTTCGATGGTTCCTGGAAGAGTTGGACTTTTTTGCACTTGCCTCACCTTCTACAACTTCTGGTTTTTTTTCTTCACCTTCTCCTCTGTCCACTGCTCTTTGCTCATCCAGTAAGGTATCCATACTTGCAGCAGCACTAAGAGGCTCAAAGTCCCGCTCAAGCATCTGCTCAGAGCTCAGTCTTTCCTGTGCTGACGATCCTGTGCTCTCCCCTGGCACGCTCACAGAGCGACCCCATGGCACGTGATGCTGATCCGGTGTGAAAGAACCGCCATTCACATTCAGCCTCTCTCTTGAATCTTTGTCATCTCCATCTCCTTCGAAGAACACAGATCCTGGGGTTGAGCATCGGCTACCTCCCCATTTGTTTGACGTGGCATGAAGGTGGTTTTGAGAAGCTTCTTGGTGTTCACTCATTGGCTGAAGTGATGAAGGGGACCACTGGCTGCTGCAGGGAGACAAAGAGGGCTCAGAAGGGTTTGATAGACTGCATGGTTCCACAGAAGGGCTGTCACTGTTAAACTGCAGCAATTGAAGTTGTGTAGCAAGGAGCTTCTCGGGAGCGCTGTGCCTGTGTAGCACAGTAGAGCAGTGCTTGGTCTGAGTGTGGGAGATGCAGGACTGCTCTTGAACCTCGGTGGAGGCTTCTGCAGGCAAGGTGTCAGAATCAGAGGGGAGGTTGGGATTTAAGGAAGTTGTCAGTGGTTCAGAGAGGTTTTCTGAGGTGCTCTCTGAGTTGTAGTCTTTATGAGCACTAGTGTCACATTTTATAAATCTAATATCTTCCGTCTGGATACAGTGTGTATCTAAAGTATCCTTCTCGAAATTCCCACTTTGACCTCCTCCTGGTGCAGGGAAGCCATTATGCATTCCTGATTCAAGATTAAGTGAGAGCTTGTTTTCTTCATAATAAGAAGAAACACCAGAACTTTCAATAGGAGCAGAAGCACAACGTGGGTTGGTGGAATTGGGATGACTCCGGGTTGCCCTAAAACTATCTTTTCTGGTTGGAGGCTGAGGAGGGTTCCTTTTTCTTTCCATTCCTGTTTCTCCATTTCTTAGAATCTCAAAGCCTCCACCCCTCCGTTCCTGCTCGTAGCAGCAGGACGAGGGCCTCTCTTTTACCTCGATGGGCCTTGGTCTCGGCCTAGTCAGTGATCTGGACTTTTGTGTGATCAGCGGTGCCTCATCTTTGCCCTCACTAGGTGTCTCGCAAAGGGTTGAGGTGTCTCTAACAGGGTAGCCTTGACAAGACAAGAGGTTATCCATTGAGTTGGCTTCACCGGGTCTCAGAGGGACTGTCGCGTAGTCAGATGTGTTTGAGCTGGCGGAGAAGGAGCTGTAGGCAGAGTCTCTCTTATTGTTGAAGAGGGTGGGATCGACTGGTGAATTATGGGAGTCGGAGTATGGCTGCGTGGTGGGTGTAGGTGTGTCCAAGCTCTCCATGGAGCCCAGGGAGCTGCTTCGGTCAGTGGAGGAGTAAGGTCTGGACAGCTGACTCCACTGCATGGACAAATCGCTGCAGAGAGATGGAGATGCAGAAGGTCAAACGAAATGTTTCAAAAACAGACACTGGGTGGTGCTTTGGGTTATTTTGCAGACTAAATAAGCAAACAAACGCCAACTTGATCTTTGGACAACACATCAAAAACTATCCAGATTTTTTCCAGAAGGTTTTTTTTTTTTAAAACAAGGACTTTTCTGTGTTCATTTTGAAAAATATCTCTATTCACCAGTTTAAGGTGCTGTCAAGATTATGGCAAAATAACAAGTAAAAATATAACCCTAACCATAAAGCAGTAACACTGCACACAGCCTGATAAAGAGAAAAAGAGAAATGCACTCAATGGCCAATTAAAATGCAGCTTTGTTTTAGTTTTAAAAGCAAAATTAACCCTGCGTGTATAGTCAATATGATCAGTGGTGTATGCAATGGGCCCAGATGTTGCCATTGCTGCTGATTAGATACATGCCACCTCTTCCGCAGTGCCTGCAGAAATGTACACAAAACACGTGCGCCAAAATATTGGTGTACGTGTGGGTGGGGTTATAGGGTTAGGGGTGGGGTTAAATCTAGGGCTTGGGGTCATTACCACTGAAGACTTCAGAGGTAGTTTTATTGGTATTATTGAGTTTTGGGGAACTGTTCAACTATTCTTTGATTAGCATAGTTAAACAGCATTATGGATTTAGGGTTAAGCTACTTGCCATTATTAATTATCGAACAATTCACATCCAACACGTATTTGGTGACTCATCTAAAGATTAGGTTGGGATTAACATTCACTCCTGTTTTAGGAATTTTTACTAGATTAAAAACTTTACCCTTTGGGTTTTCCAACACACAAAAATGACCTCATTTACTCTAACCCTGGATGGGTTGACCCTACCAGCTTCATTTAAAGTAGTTTAAAGGTTTTTGCTGGGGAGCTGGACTGTAACAACTGCAGGGAAAGGCGGAGGAAAGTCAATACAGTATCAAAATCAAAGTAAATTTTAATGTTCTCTAAGCAACTTCATGTGGTTTCCAGAACACTATGATGTTACTTTTTGACTGACAAGACAGTTAATGCCTTTAAAAGCTACATATACTAAGTCATCTTTAATTTTCATACTGTAAGTTTCGATTACCCCGCCCTTCACATCCCATCCATACAACATTTCCACTGAACAGCTGGTGGATCTGTTTTCTATCAGTGGTGAGCTGAAGATCCACGGCAGCCCCATGCGTTTTAAAGCCCCTCGGAGGAAGCCTCTTTAGGCAGAGAGGGATTTCCTCCTCATCAACTCACGCTGCCTACAGTCAAAATGTCTAAGTCATTCCTTGATTCCTCTCATCCTTTTTCATTCCTTTCTTCCGATTTTTGTCCTACCCTGTCCCAACTTCTTTACATCAAATGCACAATATTTCCCCCCCCCCCCCCCCCACACACACACACATATATATATATAGCTTTTAAAAACCATTTTACTTTCTAATAACTATATATATAGCCAAAAAAGAGAAGCGTCTGTACAATATAATCTATCCTAGCACATTTGATTTAGATAAGAAAAAAATACTCCCCCAGCTGAATCAAGAGAGAAAAAAAAGGCAGATGAGAAACAGATGAGGTATCCCTTCTAGGGCAGACAGACATGCAATAAATGTCATATGTACTGTATATCAAATGTTGCTCAATGGACTCAACTACCCGCCACTCAACCGCAATGTTGGGTTTGAATTTGACCTGTGACCCATGTTACACATCATCCTCTCGAGCTGTTTGGCCCCCCTTGTAGTTTCGACTGTTTATTAGGCCAAAAAATGACCCCGTTTCCCCCAAATGACACAGAGGAAAAAAGAACAAAAGAATTCCCAACCATCTCAACTTCATGGAGAAAACCACACGAGACAGAATAACAGGGAGCAAAGGGAGAGCTTAGGCAGCAAAGATAGAAAAATACACTTCGTACATATTGTCTTATCAAGCGGGCTTTGAGGGCACCCAGTGTTCATGCGCTTGGTTCAAATCCAGTGCCATAAAGGCTCCAATAAAAACCTGCAGGCATTTTTATTGTGGTATTTCTTTTTCCTGTAAAGAGGAGAGAGTGGTCACTCACCCTTTTGTTATTTCTTTGGTGTCTTATTCAAACAATGGGGAAAGTTGCCAAGGAGACAGAGGAGGGGTTACAGGAGACAGAAATTTCTGAAGGACTTTGATCTCAAACCAACATGGGCAAGACAACCAGCAGACTATCTCCAGGCTGCTGCTTGTGGTATTCATGGTTTACAATTCTTTGCTTCAGAAACTTCAGTTGTAAACTATTCAACCTCAACTTACTCTTTTACGCTAAATACAAGTTTTATGCTCATGTATTCCAATGTTTTGATGATTTGTAGTACGCGTATAGGTCATTTTCCTTTCCATGCTCTTACCAGTAGGCTCTATGTACATGGTGTCTCTTACATTGGACAAGCAATGTTTCTGTGTTTGACAGCTACTGTTTTCCAGTATGGCTGGATAATGTAAGAATTATATGAGCCAACTCTTAAAACTTCACTGGCTTTTGGAACATGAAGAGGAATTTATGTCCTTTATATAATGATCATGGGGTAATAAAGTCAAGACTTTAAAGCCAATAATAAAATTAGTGACCTTTAACTCATTAATATGCTGTATAACAGAAGTTGTTTAGAGCTGCATATCTGGATATGCGGATTCAAACAATGCCTTGAGGGAACTGTGCTACTGTGCCATATAAATAAAATTCAATTGAACTGAATATTTGGTTTGATAGACTTTTACACCAGAAGCCATTTCTAATGCAGGGATCTGTGCCAGCTCCCAGGTTCAAACCAAAGATCTTTCATGTGTTATGTGAAAATGCTATGAAACCACCATTAAGCTGAAGCAGCAAACAACAGCTCTGCAAAATAAAGCAAACATGGAAATGCTGACAATTGCAGTTTCTCTAGTGTCCATCCAGACATGTTCAGGCGTGTTCGTCAGTCTCAAGCGTTCAGTACTAGAATGACATAAATGGGAGCCCTGGGAGTGGTGCAATATAAGTACATAAATCGCTCAATAAGATCACGGGTGTAAAACAGTGAGATACAATACTCTGACTGGCAGGGTGGAAAGTACGCTTCATTATCTGCATGAGAAAACAGTCTTTGAGGGAAGTGAGCAATGGATGGGAGAGGAGAGGCTTCTGTATAGGTTTGACCTGGGTGACAGAGAGAGGAAGAGAGGAAATGAGACGGGAGCTGGAGAGGAAATGACAGTCACTCCTGCCCAATCAGACGCAATGTGGAACATGTGAGTGTGAGGTTTGACGAAGACGCACCAGCACAAATACACAAACGCACGATGTGAGAGTTACAAAAGGCATACACACTCCTGTGAAAGCTGGAGATATTTTATCCCTACTTTACTTATTGCTTACACATGGTTAGAGCAAAAATAAAACACACACACACACACACACGGACTGTACAAAATGTACTCTCCTTCACACAAACACAGTTTATTGAACGTCTTCCTCTCTTTGTCCACATTTTCTGAGAGTCACACGACATTGTCCAGAGTTATGCCGGGAGCTGCCTCCTCATCCGACTGATGAGATCAGGCGGGAGAACTGTGGGAATAAGAACCCCCCACGCACACTAACACACACACGCACACATCATGTGGGACTATTAAAACAGTGGTACGTTAGATCACTGATTGCTATCAAAAGGAGAACAACTGACAAACAAAGACATAAAGGCTATTTTTACTGTGAGTCAATATACAGGCGGAGGGGACTTCCGTGTGCTCTTTGAAGGATTACAGTGTAGCTTGGTGAGATCATACTCTAATACAAAGAGTTTTATTCAACCTGACTATCCGATTCAATTATTTGTCACTGATGTATTACAGTAGCAGAAAAAGTTAGACTCAGAGCTGAAGTAATACTCGTTGATTAGGGAAATTTTCAATAAAAAGTAGCACTTTCACTAAATAATTAGTCATTTACACATGCTGCTTGACAGCTGGCCACCATATTGGATGTGCTGCACCCAGCGGTTGATGGGGAAAAAATGTGTAGTCCCCAACTGGATGGCAGTGGTTCCTGGGGGTTTCTGGCTCTCGCTGGGTGAAAATTCAAACTATGATCACAGCAATATGTTAGCAATCAAATACTCACAAGAAGGTCTGCCAACCAGTTGGGTGACACATGTTTTTCCCTAGTGACAGGTGGTTGCCAGGGGGTCACTGACTGGTCTGAAAATCTGTGTGGCTGGGACTTGAGCAATCCCATCGACTGCAATCAACCTCTGGAAACCACTCACAGCCGATCAGGGAACACTAGTTTTTCTCTCTTGGTTGCCAGATGGTCATGGATTAGTCTCTAGGCCTGTGTAAGTGGGACCTTAGTCACTTAATCCCACATTGTCAGCATGAGCACCATGATATCTATGTGTCAGAAAACATCACATTGACTTGTCCCGTGTCTGCAAAGCTACAAAGAATATAGTTTATGTCGAATGGTCTCCCACCTGATATTTTATATGGGCACATGGGCAAAACACTGTCAGAGGGCCAGAAACTCAACAAAAGGCAGCTTCATGTTAATGAATTTGGAGGGGAATGAGTAATGAGTCTGGACTGCTGTTTAACTTATTATTCCAATTATGTGCACAAACAAATCTTTTCTGTCATGAGTTTGAACATTGCAAGATCCCAAATGATGGATAAAAAGCTGTCTGTGCTGCATGTTTTAACATCGGGCGGTCAATGGGTGGCCAATGGGTGGCCAGGTATAGTAAATAATTTCGTAGTCTTTTGTTTTATTTTAGAGTTAAACCAGTTTAAAAAATTCTTTTAAAAGTCTTTTAATGTACTGATATTCCTTAAAAGAATCACTATTTAAAAAAATCATTATTATCTATATTCTTTTATAGACGATGGCATTTATTCTGACTTCAAATATTCAGTTTTAATGATTGCAAAATTGTCATCCTGGAGTCCATATTAAGACATGTTTTATGCTAACCTAAAATGACAGCAAACTGTGATTCTTTTAAAAGAAAAAGGGAATCTGTGGATGTTTTTGGGGCTGGCTGTTGTAAAATGATGCTGTAGATATTGAATTCAGTGAGTTTAAGGTCATTCAGCACCATGTTTCTCATGTTTTAATTTAGCCAGATAAGTTCAACATCAAATCCATGAAAAGTGGGATTTAATTTAGAAGTAATTTTGAATGGAGTCATACAGGACTTTTATGACTTAGTAGTAAAAAAAAGAAACCTGAATACTTCCACAATTTAGAGGTTTAGCAAAGCTGGGCTTAATGACATAATTATCTACTAACTCATGGCTCAATGAACAATTGCTAGAGTCCGAAGATCTGTAATTGGTACAGATTAATTACACCACATGGCAGGAAGATATGATACTGAAAACACACCAAAGTTCAGCCGAGTGGGCGTCTGAGATAAACCCATCAGCAAAACAAGGTTAGCCATTAATGCGTTGCTGTGTGATTTGGATTAGTCGCTGTGAAAAAGACCACACTGGAAAAAGTGTGACTCTTTCATGAAGCATTGAAATGTTTGGTGTCCAAAACTCAAGTGTACACCACCACTTTTTAAAAACTCTGCTTTTCATCAACATCTCAACTGGAAAGGTGAATTACTTAAACCAATTTCCACTCCACCCCATTTAAGTGTTATTCTACATCTTTCTTAAAACTTCTTGATTTAAACTGCAACTATTAACTGCAGAAGGCCAAATAACAAAACAAAATCCATCTGAATTTGTTGTTGCATCCTTTTCACTTTTAAAAACCCCGAGGGCTCTGAATGGATTTGCCACCGCAGCAGAAAACATCTTGTCCCCCACGAGCAGACGAACAAAGAGCTGGTCACCAGAGAGATCTGATTGGTTATTGCTTTGGAATGTTTAAATAGAAGCCAAAAATAGACCTGCTTCCTGTGTGGGCCATGTTGACATTAAAACAGTGATGTCACCTGCTTCCTGGCAATTGTTGGCTTTAGGGGCACAGTCAGAGTCACAGGGACCAATTTTTTTTTAAATCCCAGGTGGGGACTTGCAAATAATGGGATCATAGTGTATGACTAATATAAAGTATGATGTTTTTGGTGGAGCAGCAAAACCTGATTTGCTGTAATTCAGATGAAGATGCTCATCTTATATTCCCCAGCTTGTAATTACTCTTCCCCTCACTGAGGAAGCGACAAATTAAAGCCAGGAGAAAAACGAATCCCAAAAGAACCTTAAAATCAGAGATATCACGGAGCGCACCATATAAACAACAGCTTTACATGGAGATCATCTGAAACACACTGCGTCAAGACTACGTCAAAACATCTTGCATAAACCCTATCGGTAAAAGGTCTATTATCATTAATAGTCATTAGGGAAACAAAGTGAATATCTCTGACCTCTTCAGTTGCTTAGGCCCACTTTACACCTGCCATTTTTTGTGTGCGTTGCATGTTGTGCCACTGCTACCGCGACCAGGTTGATGACACAAATGTACGATCCTGTCAGATTTTACTGCCACTTTAAGAATATAACACAATTGAGGACTAAGAGGGTGTTCCTATGTGTTTGAAAAAGTAAATTTAAAGGGGACCTATTAAGCTTTTTTGTTTGTTTTCTGTCCTGTTATATATTTTTAATAATGGATGATCATAATAAATAATTAAAAGTTTCAAATGATGAGGTCAGCGTTTGTGCAAGTATTCACCACAAGGCAAACACTCAGGCTTAACACTCTGCTTCAGTTTTTTTCTATTCTTGGCTCCATATGATGTCAAAAAATATGGAGCAATACCCTTTATTTGGTATTCCAACTCTGTCACATGCAACTTCTGTCTGCTCAGGAAACTGAATTTCCCGGAGGAACCCACCCAAGGGATTAATACAGTTTTATCTAATCTATCTAATCTAATCTAAAATACAAAAGCCCCTCCCACTTGCTTTCAACCCTTTCTTTGAGCCAATCAGAAGAAAGTTAGTTTCAAGACAAAGGTGCTAAAACAGCTTATTTCAGCTAGATGATGAACTGGGGGTCTGCACTAAGGCTCACTATAGGATCTATTCCAAAACCGAATCCAATGTTAAAAATATGGAGCTAGAACACAAACGCTCGTGTTGTATCTTATATCTGAAAAAACATCTTGACTCCCTCACGGGGCTCAGCTTGGACCCAGCAGACCACTGGGTTTGTGCACCACTGGAAACCCTGAGGCCCATAAACATCACGCTCACAGGCTTCATGCTATAAAGACTTATGTAGTCCAGTGCCAAATGTCACTATCAACAATATCAGTCAGTATGATGAATGTCTACCTCGACCTTAAGCGATATAGTACACTTCGAAAGTATGTAAATATTGATTAAACCAAGTGATTTATTGCTCAAATCATCTTTCAAGCAAACAAACAAAGCTCCTGCTACTTTCACATTCTACATATGTGAGACATCACTGAAAATAGTAAGGCTTTTACTGCTTTACATAACTGCAAGCTTCAACATTTAATATATTCATTACGATAATTAGTTTAGTTATGAAAGCAATTCCCCGTAGTGATATAATCATGTAACTGCACTCAAATATAGAAAATCCCCTGTAGAGCACAAACAGAACTTTACATGAGCTCAGAAGATTTCATTGAGTGAAACCCACCTTTCTATGGTGGCTTGAGGTTAGAAAAATTGTCAGATAAAATTAGGGACCCACCTCTCAGGAGAATGCAAATAAACAGCACCACCTACTTAGACACATAAAAACTTTGTTCACACGTTAGCTCACCTGCTGTCAGTCGTGTGCCAGGGTAGTGTGTAAGGGCCGGGGTGGAGCTGCATGGCAGGTGGGGGGGGTGGAGGAGGGGGGAGAGGTGGGGAGTCGGCAGTGGGGAGGCAGGGTGGTGCTGGAGGAGGGGACGGGGGGGGAGGGGGAGGGGGAGGGAAGGGCAGCTCCGACAGCTTTGCCAGGTGCCAGGAGTGAGGCCTGATGAAAGGGACACTACGTCTGTGGAGACAAAAACAAAAACACACAGGTGAGAATCAAGTGTTTAATCAATCAATCAGCTGATCAGAGAGGAAATAACAGGGCCCCGATAGCCAATTTACCGGCAGTTCAATGGTACCTACTGCAGTGTCCCTGTATTACAGGAACACTGCGTTCTTCTACCAAAACACATCTAGAAACATCCTTTAGCACCACTTGCAGGCCAGTTGAATTTAGGGGACTCCTGAGATTTTGGTCAAACATAAAGAAGCGGCTGTGGTGTTGTATTTCCCGCCCGGATGCTTCCAGTGTGTCTGTATAAATGTGAAACATGCTTTTCCCCTGGCAACTAATGTGATTTCCTTGTTTTTAATAGGGCCGGTTTTCCTTTTTCCTACCTACTTCATGTCTATGGGATCTTTTTACCCACCACTTCTAAGCAGGATGTCTGAATATGATTAATATAGGCAAAATGTATACGATGACATGCTTGTTTGCAACCACAAGCCTAAGTGTCTTGGATCGTAAGAGCTCACATAAAATGTATCCCTACAGCGGCAGCGCCGTGCCAACCTAAATTCTGTGGAAACGGCTTCCTCGCAAGCTGTTTGGACTTCAGCGCTATGTCCATTAAAAACTCATCTAACGTGTACAGTAAGCCCTCCGGTCTGATCCAAAGCCAGGCATTCCAGTGTATCCCAAGATATTCACTAAGTCCCTTGTTCAGACTTCCGATCACATATGCTCGCCAGATTCAGCTCAGCCCCCCTGCAGACAGACTGCAAGATGGGCTGATTGAGCAGAAGAAAAGAGTGAGAAGACTAGGCAGTTAGAAATGTTACATTCCTCAAGTTTGAATGGACCTTTATGGTGGTAATCATATCTTTAAGAATAACACTGACTTGGAAATACTGTTGCTGGATGGAAATAACATACTCCTAGTTCCTCTATAGAGAACAGGAACTAAGAGGTGTGAGCTTGAATCAAACTGAAGTCAGAAAAGCTGGGAATTTGCTGAGAGACTTCACCCAGTGAGAAACTGACTTTAAAAAAGACAAAAGGTTCAAGTATCTGGTGCAAAAATCTTAGATGTAGAGTATAACAATTAATAAGCTTTAGTAAAAAGGAAGAGTTTTTGGAACCAAAAGGACGCTTTTGGATATTTAAATCAAAGAAAATCTCATAAAATTCAATTTCAAATGATTTTCTTTATTGTATTTTACTTCATTTTGACTTTTTGCCACTGACTTTGACTCGGCTTGTTTGACTTGACATTTTCTTTTACCTACTCATTGAAAAATGCCATCATTAGTCAAATAAGAACTCAAGTAACCTAAAATTTCACAAAACTGGCCCCAATTTCAAATACACTTCAACCTTGACTGGCATTTCGTCCTTTGACCTGAGAGCTTGACTTGTCCCAAAAGATTTAAAAGTGAGTTTGAAAACACCCGAAATACCACCTGGATGACATGGTGGATAATTATGACAAAAAAGGGCCAAAGTTTAATTCCCAACAACACTCCAATGAGAGGACTATTAAGGTCATCAAGCACAAAGTACAAAAAATGTAAAATTAGACTATTTTGGAAAAACATAGGGAAGTACAGTTTTAGGAGAAGAATGCAGATCCTGGCACCAAGAGGGAAAGGAAAGGACCATTTTTGCATATTATTGTTTATGATAAAGCAGGGGCAGGAGACCCATTTCCAAAATAAACACTCCAGTTTCCTGATTCTGGCTCCTTAAGAGGGATTTCTATCTGAACCCGCTGATTGTTCAACTCTGCTGACAATGTCCTTAAATTATCCCCTGAGAAAGTTTATGCAGAGCCTGCGTATGTGCGTCTACGCTCCTACGTGTATGCTGCACTATGTGTGGGAACTATCCAAACTTGACCAGACAAAATACCATTATTGAACAAAATACAAACATTGACAGACCCCCCCCCCCATTTCTCACTGCCACCTCCTCAGTTTCTCCAAGTTTAGCTTTCCAGAGATTGATTACTGTGAAAAATCAAATGAAGTAATGCCAAAGTCAGATGGAGATGGTATGCACGACAAAGGGTAAAAAAGAAAGGAAAAATGTGCCGACTTGTAGCTTAAAAGAAAACAGAGCGCTGATCTGCTGTTGTGCAGCAATGCAGGGGAGAAGGGAAAAGCTCTCCAAAACCACAAAGCCAATCAGTGCGTTTCCAAAAGGCTGAGAGCAGCAGCCAAGAGGGCAGCAGTGATCAAATTAGGGGATTTACAGCATGAAGAGCTGCACCTCCAACATAGGAATAGATAAGTGTTCTTACAAACTTGACTAAAGTGCTGTACAGCTTAAAACAAAACCAAAACAGAAAGTTTCACAGTACCAAAACTTGGATGAATGACTAATAAAGTATTATTAAAAAAATAAATCTCAGCTAATAAAATAATAAACAAACAAAAAAACCACAGAAAACATATTGTTTGAATAATTTCTGTAAGTCTCCATGCAGCATAGAAACTGACTGTGAGGCTATTCTACAGCTTTGGAAAAGCCGCCATTAACCTCCTGGCGTCCACACATGTGAACATCACATTTTGGGTTATTTAGACCAAAATACTCAGTTTTGACTACAAAATATCCCCTGATATTAGGGCTGCACGATTAATCGTTAGAAAATCGCGATCTCAATTCATACTTATGTGCGATCTCATTTCCAAATGACAACGATTAAAAAAAAAAAAAAAAAAAAAAAGACGATGACTGTACCGCATTTTGATCCAGGACGTAATTTGCATGAAAACAAGCGCTCACTCTTCCTGCTCAACAAATGACAAGGGCGGAGCCTTATACCACGTGATACAGAAGCTGTGCCGTGTGATGCTAAAATTAGCAGGGAAAAAACAACGGAGAGCACGTCAGGGATGACGAGAAAGTGACAGGAGAAAATCCGTCCCGGTCAACCACCCAAACATCAATAACGGGAACCTTATACAGCGCTTCCCTATACCGTCGAACTCCCGCAGGCACAAAGAAATTACGGAGGCTATCACTTATCACCTGACCAAAGATATGGCTCCCATCCACACTGTGCAAAACGAGGGATTTAGGAAAATGATCAACACCCTGGACAAACGCCACACACTATTTTTCTATTGTTGCACTACCTGCTCTATACACGCAGCGTCGAGCAACGGTGGAGACGGAATTTCAAGCAGTACCACATTTTGCGGCAACGACATAACGTGAGACATTTGTTGTTTTTATGTTTATTTATTGTTTTTATGTTCAGTCTCAACTGTTACGAAGTTGATGTGCAGTTAATAAGTGCAATAAATATTTATACTGGAAAAGAAAATCGTGAGAGAATCGTGATCTCAATTCTAAGCCAAAAAAATCGTGATTCTCATTTTATGCAAAATCGTGCAGCCCTACCTGATATCCACTTACGAGCACATTATACCGCTACTGTTCTATCGAAATTTTAAATGAATATCCTCATATGTGGATCTCATTTCTCTTAGAAACAAAAATCAGGTAAAAAAAAAAAATCTGCAAATTCTTTGTTTTTACATTCATCAGGTTCCAATATGTTCAAATATCACAGAGAAATTAAAAATGCATGCCGTGGAAGAGTTCGGGTCTTAGGAGGTTAAAGCACAGCCTCCTTTACCCTCTAATCCCGATCACAGGGCAATAACAAGTACTTCTTCTGATAATGTTACAGTGGTAGAAAAGGGTCAAAGCTGTTCTGAAAATTTTTGGTCAAAGATTATTTAAAATGAAGAAGACTGTGTTTAGTTCAAGTTTCCTAAACCAATTATTAAAACACAGGGTTTAAATTAAAAGCTGTGTTTATGTCAGTTACGAAAAAATGAAACAACTCACAAAGGACTTAAATATTGGTGTTAAATGTACACCGTAGGCATCTTATAACTGAAAACTCTTAGGAAGCCCTACATCCTAATCTGACATGGACCTCCATAGAAATCTACATGTCGCATCAATGCAGCCCACAATGACCATGATTGGCCAGTTGCATATCCGTTGAGTTCCCCTGTTCATTCTCAGATGCTTTCTTGCAGCTTCACAGAATTATGGGTAATCTCGCTGTATTTCCTGGAGGGTTAGTTTCTGAACTATTGGAATGGATGTAAGGGAATGCACAAAAGAAAAACAGCAGGGAAAATCTAAGGGTATATATATACTGTATATACATGCTACAGCAAGAAACTGACCATAAGAAAAACAGCTACCCAGGAAGTGAACAAAAAGTCCCAGTGAAAGAACCTGTTTCCCTGCTTAAAACTGTTTAATTTTTTGTTATTTGGACTTTTTGGCAAAAAAAAAAAAAAAAAAAAAAAAAAAGGCAAAAACTTTAACCTATTTTACTTTACTTTTACTTTTATTTATGAAAAACAGGAAACACACAAAGGACCCGGCTCTTACTGTCCTTTTAACCACGGTGACTGAAAGATCTGGATCAACGAAACAGGCTTAATAATAAATCCACAGAACTCCCACTTTCCTGTTCCTGACACTGTAACCCAATTGGCTACCTGTCCCCCAACTGGCAACAACAAGCAAAGAGGAATCACATGAAGCACATTTTTCAAATAATTCCCTGGCACACCCTGAACAGCAGCTTGTCCTTGACGTGGAGTCAAAGTTAATGAGATAACAGATGATAATTGTTCCGTTTTGACCGCAACCAATTGGGAAATTCAGTCATGTTGGCTCTACGTAGCGAGCTTCTACTTCAACATGTATTCTCTGGGAGTTATGCAGGTTTTTTAGGATCTTAAACAGAAGAGCTGGATGGAATGAGAGAAGTGGCAAGGAGACGAGAAGAAGACACAAGCTGGCGACAGCAGTCAAAGGCCGAGAAATTATAAATTCTCAACTCTGAATGAGCCTCTATTAGCGGATCTGCTGGAATGTCCCACTTAATGGTCAGCAACGGCAACAGCTGACTGATACCGCAAAGGTCACAGCGCATAATCTCAGTCACACACACTGTCTCAATACAGTACAGACCGAATGCC